CATGTAGGTTTGTCTGCATGTTGTTAGGGAAACTTCATGTGTAACATTCATAGGACATGCCATTGAAAGTGTGCCATCTAACAAATGTGAAGTGTTTTAAACAAGGCAGACTAGATTAAGGTTTCTTTAGTATAATATGGACAGATTGAGAAAGGAGCATTATTATTATTCTCATTCAACTCATTGTGCTTTACCTGTGTATCACTTTCTTGACATCTTACTACTGTATGTTCATACATCTTCTTCACTCTGCAGGCCTGTGGCATCATTGTTGAACTGATCCGTTCAAAGAAGATGGCAGGAAGGGCAGTGTTACTGGCAGGGCCGCCTGGTACAGGAAAAGTAAGTGTGTAGCGCTCATGCACTTGAAAATCAGTTGTGCAACTTAAAACTATATATATATATATATATATATAGCTCATGCTGTTGCAGAATATATTTTAACATATGATTTTCCATCTCCTCTCTTTAGACTGCCCTTGCCTTGGCCTTAGCACAGGAGTTGGGAAACAAGGTGCCTTTCTGCCCCATGGTTGGCAGCGAAGTCTACTCATCAGAGATTAAAAAAACAGAAGTACTTATGGAGAATTTCAGGAGAGCCATCGGTGAGTGTCATCTACATCTTATTGCGTTTGATTTGGCCGATTAAAAGAAATACTTGAGTCATTACACACAAGCTACAGGTGACAATGTGACAATTACAGTTAGAGCAAAAGAAAGAAAATGCTAAAATGAAGGAAACATGCAGGTTTAAAACAATTAAGCAAGAACAATTTTTATGACTACATACCCCTAGGTCTAATAAGATTTGTAGCTTAACTTCTTCATCTCTTGGTGTAAAAGCACCTGATATGTTCAGTTTAGTCCCGGGGGTGGGGGGGGATCATTAGGCAGGTAGAATAAGGAGGACTGTGAGCTCCATTGTCATGAGCTGAAAGGCTACACTCCACAGTGGATTTATGAGAATGTTTGTTGAGAAGGACGGAAGACTGGGTACCTACTGCTGACGGTACCTGTCGCAAGGCAGGAAATGGAGCACACACAGAGAGGAGAGGTGGTCTTCAGCACCTTTGCTCCTCCCCTAAAGAAAATCCACTGCATTTTGAATTGTCAACACTATCTTGATAAGAATGCTGTGACAGACAGTCCCCTGCCTTAAGCTTTGCTTTTTGACCCTCACCGCAGCGGATCAGCCACCTGTGGGCTGGACGCTGCATGAAAGGGGAACAAGAGTGAGATCAAGTTACACAAGATGCTGCCAACACATTTCATGTGCACACGCATGCTCGCTTTGTAATAAAAAAAAAAAGATTGTTCAATAGACTGAAGGAGACAAGGGAAATAGTTGATACAGCAATATAAAGGCGTGATTGAGCTCTCAGTACTCTCTCTGCCCACATACAGGACTGCGTATCAAAGAAACAAAGGAGGTGTATGAAGGAGAGGTGACGGAGCTGACCCCCTGTGAGACGGAGAATCCCATGGGTGGCTACGGAAAAACTATCAGCCATGTCATCATCGGTCTGAAGACGGGCAAAGGCACAAAGCAGCTGAAGGTCAGACTCAGAGCTTTGTTTCCCCCATCCTCTGTCATTTGTCCTACATGTAACACACTGAGCTGTAATTGTAATGATGATGGAAAAAAGAAAAAGCTAATAAGTGCACCTCGTTTTTTTTTATAATGCATTCATTTTATTTCCATCTGCATCCTGATTGTGTCAAGATGCAAACCTGCAAAAAAAATATATTTTAAGTTGAATGTGCTCCAACAAAACTGATAGAAAAGGACCAATGTCCTTCTTATACATGTCTTCTCTTTTTCTCAGCTGGACCCCAGTATTTATGAGAGTCTTCAGAAAGAGCGTGTGGAAGTGGGAGATGTCATCTACATTGAGGCCAACAGTGGAGCGGTCAAGGTGAAGCTAATTAGTTTCATGGACTATAAAAAATGTTTCAGATTCTTTTCACCCAAACAGAGTTTGATAAGACATATTAAGAAGACATTAACTGAGCTTATTTCCTACACAAGCTCAAAAAGAAATGTTTATAAAAGGGTAAATTATTAGGTCACTCCAAAGTTGAGTGTTTTGTGGCTTGCTGCATGCCCTCCTTAGTCCTTCATGGTGGCGTTCTTTCATCGTCTTTAGTTCTGCATGAAAGCTCTTCTGCATTTCTACTGTACTCTGGAATGAGCCTCTGTCATTACCACAGCTCTTTATGCTCCCTCTATCTCTCCATCTCCCACAATGCTTCTTTTCCAGCAGCAGGTCTTGTGGTCTGTGTTGATAGGCAAAGATGACAGTTCCTTTAATCAGTGCAGGTGGGCCAGAGGCTGAGGGTAGGCCAGAGTCAGAGGGCTGGACGACACATTTGTTACTGTTGACAGCTGTATCATGAGCTGCCTTCTGAAACTCTTTCATCCCTCAGCAACTTGCCCTCCTCTCTGTGCTGGGCTGGCTCCGGGTTCAGACACACACACACACACACACACACACACACACACACACGCACGCACACCTGCTCACCTGCTCATCCATCCTGTTGCTTTTATCTTTACAACTGCCTTTACTGTTGGGAGAAGCAACGTGAGACATTCACTTTCCAGAAGATTTTTCAGTTAATATTAAACCAACGTTGGTGTTATTCTGTTTTTGCAGAGACAAGGTCGCTGTGACACATTTGCTACAGAGTTTGACCTGGAGGCAGAGGAGTATGTTCCCCTGCCCAAAGGGGATGTCCACAAAAAGAAGGAGATAGTCCAAGATGTCACACTGCACGATCTGGATGTTGCAAATGCAAGACCTCAGGTATGTAACACACTCCTGTTTGTTGATATCAGGGCAGTGACTTCCATCTTAGAAAACAGATTGCCAGACTACGAAGGTAAATATATTTTAATATAATATCTACATTTGCTCTCAGGGAGGCCAGGACATCCTCTCCATGATGGGACAACTGATGAAGCCCAAAAAGACAGAAATTACAGGTAGATAAAGCACCTTCAACACACAATGGCTGCAACATTAGTTAACCTGGTTCATTCACCACTTTCATACAGCAGCTCATTTTCCTCCATATCACGTCCAGGAGGAGGAAGCCAAATGCTGTAGTCAAAATCATATTAGATAGAATAGAACATCTTTATTGTCATTTATACAATTGTACAACAAAATGATTAAGCTTTACCTTAAAGTGCACACACATACAGGCATCCATAGCTAAAAAAAACAACAACAAAAACTCTCATTCAGGTAAGATGCGGCAATGTATGGTAGAAGTATTTACTACATGTAGTTTTAAAAAAGTATTTTATATATTGCTGTGTGCTGGATAGCAAATACTATCAACATAAGGAATTTCTTTTTAAATTGTGTCCTGCATCTTCTTAAAAGTCTTAAATAAATATTGTCAAGCTAAGTCTTGAATTTGGTTTGATTGGTCTTTATTTTCTTCCAGGCTTGCATGGGCTTACATTTAAACTGTTACATTAAAAAAAAAAGGTGTTAAATGTATCGAGTGTGATGTGGATTAACCCTGCTCTGTTTCTGGTTTGTGCATGTCTAGTCTGGTGTTGGTGACACGACTTCATGTCCCAGCACACCATCATAGCAGTGCTAATAAAGCTGTACCGTTGAATATGATGATACGTTGATTATTCATGAGCATGTCTCTCCTGTTTTAGATAAACTGCGTACCGAGATCAACAAGGTGGTGAACCGCTACATTGACCAAGGCGTAGCTGAGCTCGTACCGGGTGTGTTGTTTGTGGACGAGGTGCACATGCTGGACATCGAGTGCTTCACTTACCTCCATCGAGCACTCGAGAGCACCATTGCCCCCATCGTTGTGTTCGCCTCAAACAGAGGAAACTGTTTAGTCAGGTTGGATGACTAACATATCTTTGTTTATGAGCGAGATGATCTTTAAAGATTTACTAAAGAGAAGTGTTTTTTTTTTCTTGCTAAGATGTACGATTTGTGGTGTATTTAATGTCCTGTAGGGGGACAGAAGACATCAGCTCTCCACATGGGATTCCTCTGGACCTGCTGGATAGAGTCATGATCATCCGCACCATGTTGTACACACCACAGGAGATGAAGCAGGTGAGCCTGAACATCTGAACATCCGCATGGTGGACGTATTCATCTGTGCGTGTGTCGCTTATAATTACAACAAAATGTGGTTTGTAGATCATCAAGATTCGTGCTCAGACTGAGGGGATTACTATCAGCGAGGAAGCTCTCGCACATCTGGCGGAAATCGGCACAAAGACCACCCTCAGGTACAGATACAGCTGTTTATCACTTTTCTGTGAGAAATGAGCCTTATGTCAGTGGATTAAGTGCACTTTGTTAACAGACCGAAAAGGGAAAAAAATATGAAAGGGTAATATAAGACTATTATTCTTAAAGGATTACAATCAGGGTCCTCTCACTCTTCCCTCCGTGTTAAACTGTTTTGTGTCTTCTATTTCCCTCCAGGTACGCTGTGCAGCTGCTTACACCAGCCAGTCTACTAGGCCGTGTTCAGGGCAAAGAGTCGGTGGAGAGGGAGCAGGTAGAGGAAATCAACGAGCTGTTCTACGATGCCAAGTCTTCTGCTAAAATCCTGCAAGATCAACATAACAAATTTATGAAATAAAGTTGGCTTTCTATGTCGGGCCTGGGTTCTCAGCCACTTGTTACATGGTTCACGTTGATTCTTTTTTTCTCCATCTCTACTCTCTCTAATGCGGCCCATTCAAGTTTCTCTGCATCACTTACTGTTAGTTTTGTTCTAATAAATTTTACGTTTTATTTGTTCAGCTTGTGAATTAAATCTTTTGAATAAAAAAAAAAAAAAAGACTCTTTTTTTTGCAAAGTTGTTTTTATTTTCCATCCATCCATTTTCTTTAAATAGCGGTTGGCGGGGGCAGCATGTCAAGCAAGTTAGTGTTCTTGAAGAAATGACTTTCCTCACTTAAACAAAAATGGACGCATCCCATATATGGACTTTTTTGTTGATTATGAAAATTGGGTAGGGTCTTCTTTTTTATATTCAAAAATATACAAGACAGTTAAATGCTGCTTTTTTTTCTCCCCCAATTATTTTACTATTGCTGTAAAACTGGCAGAACTTGCAAGTTTTCCAAAAAGGAATCTCTTGTAAAAATTATAAAAATTTCTATGAAAAAAGATTGTCTGATTTTTATTTTTTTTAATGTAACCAGGAAAACCTCATTGAGATTAACAATCACATTTACAATTGACCATTCAATACAATACAAAAATTCTGTATTAAAATAGTGAAATACCAGCCGTGTATTCTTCAATTACTAAAACTCAAATATTTCTTCATGGACTGGAGAACAGCTGGAACACAACACACCCCTAATGAGGAAAAGGTGTTATCTCACACAGCCAAAGGTCAGCTTCTACTTCTTGGTTGGTTTAGCCGAGCGAGTGTTCAAAGCTGTCTCCGCCCCTGACTTTCCTCGACTGAACACTGAGGGAGCAGCTTTACCCATTTTCTCTGTGAAATAAGAAAAACAACAATGACTCTTTTGTGAGGCAGTGAGGAAATGTATGTAATGATAGTCTCTGTAAACACACACGGCTTGAGGAAAAACACTGACATGCATCTCCCATCACTTAAACGCTTCCTTCCTGTGTATATGGAGTGGAAACTTGTGCATCATGGGAAACGCCCCTCACTCAAACTCACTGCCATAACATGACTGCAGCTTTACCCTATACTGAAAGGCTGTTTCCTTTCAGTTTCCTCTGTAAGACTGGTGTCAAATCAGGTTTCTATGTGTGTGTGAACTCACCGCAGTCCTCCATCACTTCAAACGTCTTGCTCTTCGCAGGCCCACTCAACCCTAGTTTGTTCTTTCCTTCAGTAAGGTCCTCTTCTCTCATCTCAGGACGCTGCATTGGCTCATCTTCTTGACCCAGCTGGAGGGTAGTAAAAAGTTAGACAAAACTCTTATGATCTCTTGTTTTTCATGTTTGCATCCAATAACACAAACTCTTCTTTAAACAGACTTACTTGAGACATGTTTGGTCAGCAGTGGGAGGTTTTCTGTATAAAAAAAAAAATGTCTCCTCTCTGTAGAGCTAGCTTTCTTTGCTTTAATAGGTCTACACTCAGAAACAGACACAGCCAAGCGGTGATTCACCAGTGGACAATAAATCTGATTCCTCAGAGTTATAAACGACGCAATGGCAGTTCAGGCTCCTCCTCGTTTCTGCCTCTGGTTTCTCTCAGGGTCTGCTGTCTTCTCTGCTGCTTCATTAGAACACTTTCAGATTGCTGCATACTTGCAAACACCTTCGAAGGTTTATCATGAATGTGTTTCATGTATCATTTTGTTTCCTCTTATATTCATACCAATATTTCCCAACAGCACTCTTCAGAAATCAAGGCAAATTGGTCTCAAAGTTCAAAAGATATGATTCAAAATACAAGCAGATGTCTGTTTAAGACATCGAACGTGCCAACAAACTTTACACCATGCCTGAGTCTCGTACAATTATATGTAAGAAAAGGAACAAAGAGGGAACAAACATTTTCCCAGTCTTTTGAAGCTATCCCCACCCCTTCCGTCTGCTTTTCTATAAAAACATCATTTAGCCCCCAAGGGACCCTAAACAATGTGGTTACTTTCCCAGACTAAACAACAAGAAGCAAATCCAGGATTTGCATAAACATGTTGAATACCCACTAAAGATAAACCTTAGCTCCCATTAAGGACATTTTGACACAAAGCTTATCATTCAGAGCTGAGTGTGAAAGCTCTAATCTGGACAGTGCAGACTTTCTGAGAGTATACATTTGTTATTATAAGAATACTGGAAACATTTTAGACTGTAAGTAACATAACTGAAAAACTTAAAAGTCAGGATGTACCAACAAAGAATTCAGCTGTTTCTCAACCGTACCTAAAACAAACGCTATATATAAGACAACAATATTTGGCGTTCTTCCGGGCACATCTAACTTGGAGGAGACCCAGGGTAGACCCAGAGCTTGCTGGCTTGAGAACACGAGAATCTCCCAGGAGGAGCTAGAAAATGTTGATGGGGAGAGGGCCGTCTGCAACTTGCTTAGCCTGCTGCCAACGCGACAAGGGCCTGGATAAGTGGAAGAAAACGGATGGATGGACATCAAACATTGACAAATATGAACCGATCATATTCATTCATATTTGGCACAGGAAACAATCAAATTGGTATTTGTAAGTTAAAGTCATGTTAAAAAAAGATGATTTGGGCGGCATCAGCTCAGTCTGCAGGGACTTGGGTTGGGAACTGGAGGGTAGCCGATTCAAGTCCAGGTGCTGACCAAATCTGGAAGTTGGTCTGGTAGCTGGAGAGATGCCAGTTCACCTCCTGAGCACAGCTGAGGTGCCCTTGAGCAAGGCACCGAACCCCCTCCCACCAGCTCAGGAGCGCTTGCTGTGGGCTGTCACAGGATTAATAAAGTGTATAATCTTCTTCTTCTCCAAATGATATTTTTTAGTGCTGTGTGTTGCATTATGTTAAACATTCATACATTATTCCATAAATATAGAAATCCCACATTTTAAAAAAGCATCCTTGTTTTATTGTAAGAAAATTATTCCTCTAACAAGTTCAACTGTTTTCTTAAACACATTCATATTTTTTCATAATTAATATCACAAAAAGGCACAAGTACACTCACGCTACGCACACACCCATCCAAGAAAAGACCAATCTTTTTTAAACTTGTTCCCTCGTTGCTTTGGTATTGTCAGTAACGGTCAATCATGGCTCCTGTTTGTGGTGAAACAGAAGCTTTCTTCCAGTCCAGTTAACACACTCCAAGTCTAATTTAAGTGTGTTTTTTCCTGTATCGGGGCAAGAGCTGAGTCCTCACAAACTGAATGAGCTGAGTCTCTGTGAGAACAACAGTGACAAACACAATGAGGAGACACACTGCTCCTACACTGATGTGCACCAGCCTCAGCAACCAGCCACCGTCACAGCAGAACACACCCTGAAACCAGAGATAAGAGAAGCTCCTGTTACCACCACTGCTTTGCATGAGATTAAACCCAGATTAAAGAGTGTAAAAATGTAGTAAAAACATTCATCTGAATAGTGAGATAACACATGAATGGAAACACTGATTAGTAATTATTTTGTACCTCAGACAGCGCTGTTACAACAGTGCTGACAGCGAGTGCCAGCAGGAGGAGTGGGGAGGGCAAAAGGCCACGCAGAGGTTTCCACTGCGTGGGCAGAAAGTAGTGATGTATGTAAAGAACACTGTGCATGATGCGGAGGCCCATGTTGAGGCAGTTTGCCAGTATGAAGCCCACCGAGCCAGCCCACCACGTCAGCATGTAGGAGAGGAACAGGAAGGACACAGACAGAGCCAGCATCACCAAGTTATACCTTAGGACAAAACACATTGTCAACATACATGGTGTGTTACAACTGAAGTATTGTACATTGTGTACATTTTCACTCTTACTTGTCGACCTCTTCTTGGCTCATGGCAGCAAATACAAAGCACTCCGTGACACCGTTTACAGCCAGAAGGAGAACATAGCAGCTGTAGCATCGCAGCAAGGTGGGACCTTAAACAAATAAAAAGGAGCTGTGACTAAAAAGAAAAAAACACTGAATATATATAGCCAAATTTACCAAATACAAACAAGTAAGTTCTGGCTCACTTACCTGCCCCGCTGCTCAGCAGAGAGCCGCCGTATATATCCAGAGCCAAGTGAGAGAAGGCGTAGCCAAACACAGTGATAATCAGTCCAACCACCAGCACCAGTTTCAGCAGACGCTCCAGGACTTCTGCTGCAATGGCAACCTCTTCCTGTAGACAAAGCAAGAAGTCAAGCCAGCACTGATTCCTTTTTCGAGAAATCCTCCATGTTCGTGTTTACATCCACGACTCACACCTGTTTCTGACTCCTGACATCACGTCCTCGCTCCAGAACTTTGGCAAAGAAGACGTAGAAGCTTTCCTCGATAGGCAGGAAGATGAAGCGAGCCACCATTGAGCCCAGATTATTGACGATATCATAAACTCCCTGATCTCCGAAGCTGAGGACGTTCAGGAAGGTCATAACGTAGCGCTCCCCCTCAGTGAGGATCTGCTTCAGGAAGGACTGCTTGAAGAAGCTCCATGTGAGCCGGGCCAGAGTCCAATCAATCAGCGGCTATGAACAGAGAAATAGTAGAGAATCGTTATTATTGTATATCAGCAGATTGTTTTTTATAAAATAAATCACTGTTAATCACAATTTGATCATTTTACTCTAGTTTATTTTAGTCAACTACCTTTTTGTTTTTCAGTATCATATTTTCGTATCACTTTGATCTGACTGTATTATCTGTTTGTGTTTTATCATCTTATCTATTTCCTCAATTTTTTTCTTTTTCTTGAATTTTATTATTTTAATTCTACCCCATGTTTCCTCAGTACAAATTATTGATAGCTTTTCCTCAGTTCTTCAGTTCCTAGTGTTATTGAGTCTTTTATTTTTAACGTTTTAAACTTGTGCATGAATAGGGGGGCGGGTGTTGCTTACTGCTTTTATAAATTGACTATGTCTGTAAAACACTAAGTGAAACATTTTGTTGAGTAAAAAGTTCTTTAAAATTAGAGTCTGATTGGTATTCTGATTGAATGTATCATCCTGATTTATTACCTCTCCTTTAGCTCTAGAGGGCAACAGATCTCCAACACATTTCAGAGGAAACCCCTTCTTGGCCGCCTCTTGAGAGCCCAAGAAACGGATGAAGTAAACAGCATAGCACAGCACCAGAAATCCTGTGTACACCAGCTAGATAGAAAAGAAAAAAAAGCTTAAGATAATTTCATACAGAGGCAGTAAATACAGACATAATGATGAGGACATCAGCTCTTTCTTACATGAGCAGCAGAGAAGATGTAAAGGCCCCATTCATGGGCAAACACCACCAGCACCACAGTTACGCTGCACTTAGCGATCATTGCTAAGCTCTCAGCAACCACTTTCAGTCGCACAAACATGTGAGCTTGAGCCAGGACCCAGAGGGGCTCAGCCAGGAGCTCCTGCACTCCTGACAGGGCAAACAGGACCACTGCAGAGCCGTAGTAAGGAATAGTTTGTTGGTTGGGGAGCTCCAGGAACCACAGCCACACACAGACCAGCAGGGCTGCCCATAACACACCCAGGGGCAACCTGAGAGGGGGGGAAAGGTAAAACAATTATGTGCATCCCCAAGCTTCAAACACACGCTCTGTACTTCAATCATCAAGTCAACTCACGTTAGCCACAGCAGGTTGATAACTTGTCTCCAGCTGTAGTTAGTCCCAGATACTCCACTCAGACAGGCTCTCCGAAACGCTTCTCTGGATAGAAATACTAATGTGGAGTATAGCAGGGTAAGCCTGAATGATAAAGATAGACACACATTCACATAGCAGCAAAAATGTGCAGTGAAAAGTTCTAGTGTAATGCTCTTTTTCTATTTTTGGTTAGTGGTACACCTCTGCAATCTCAGTCATCTTTACCTGACATTTACAACTCCAATCAGCTCTTTGGACACAAACCGCAGAGTGAATGCATTCAGCAAGAATGTGAGTACACGAAACATCACCTGAAAAAACAAAACAGAATCAGCATTTTAGTGAATTTTTAAAACACTGTGTTATTAAGGTCTCATGGTTAAACTGTATGTGTTCGTGTACCTGTAGCAACACATTATATGAAGCCAATGTGGACGCATTCTTCAGTACATCCTGAGAACTCATTTTCGACTTCCTCTCACTCGCCGGTACACAAAAGATAGTTTAACACTCTATCTGCCTTTTTTTTTTTTAATAAAAAGCAACACCATTGTACTGTGGTGCTGTGAAAGGTGCTACTGTGGCTTCCACAAAAGCAGTAGAAATGTGCGTCTTAATCCATATGAACAAGTGTGGAATCACGTTAGCTTCAGGGGAGATACAAGTTGCAGTATAACACTTCCGTACACAATGCACGAACCACGTTACGCGGTGACGTCAAAGAGAGTTGTCTACACTGCTGCGTCGCTAGAGGGCGACAACATCACCACTGTTTATTTTAAGTCATTTTATGCATCACTCTCATGTTAACGAACTGGCAGCTGCTGGTAAAGTTATAGACTGCGGGTTCAACACTGTTTATTTTCCCTTTCATTGTAAATAATCAGTTTATCTCCATTATTATGTAATGGCTCAATATTATATACGTACAAATAATTTATAATATTCAAAAAATACGTTTGTAAATTTTTACCGTTATTATTCGTCACAATTTAAAAAATGTTAAGAGCAAACTCACCAATTTCAT